CATCAAATTCAACAGTGTTTGGAACAAACATTCTAAACCAGGACCTAAATATCGAATCCAAGCCGAGTCTATCAGATCGTAATCAAACAGAACGATCAACTCTCCTCTTCAAGAAACCCAATTCTGTAACACAAATTAACCCAAGTTTAAATCCAATAACCAAGAAACCTTCACCAATTGATTCGATTGTGTCACATAGCCAGAAAGCTCTCCCAAGTCAAATCAAACCAATAACCCTCCTCAAAGCACGCTAACGTCCACAACATCAATGGCATCTAATTAGTATACATTTAAAATCATGATCGCTTTGGAGGGTTTTTTTTATCTCCCTTTTTTTTATTGCTTCCGAAACTTGAAAGGATAAAAGCCTTCAGTTAGCAAATATATTGCTTGCATTATAATAAATCAAATAATACACAGAAAATGCAATTATTACATGGACATAGCATTTTCGATTACTGTAAAATGAATGCAATTGCCTGCACTACATTGGAACAGAGTTTTCTGCCAGTGAGGCCACACTAGTTATAGTGGCTAACTACACCATGTAAGCGTGTCCTGTTAAAACATGGGTGTATCTGAATTTGACTTTGAAATAGGAAGAATTTTCCTTCAAAAACAATTTTTAAAGGCTAAATATCTAAAAAGTTGTTCAGAACTCTTCACAACATCAAGCACACCAATACTTCCTACTGAACTCTAACACTCCAACTCAAGTGTGCTATACTGATTAAAACGTTTACTCCAGCATAAATATATATCCCTTCCTGAAAAATACTATTCAAATCAAAATGCACATAGAAAAATATTTTCGCAATATCACACATCACTAAGGTATTTGTTGAAGAGATAATACCTGAAATCTTTATACCTTTAGAGGAAGCAGTATTAAATGAAAAATCCGAATCGTTTTCCATCCCATCATCGCTCGCACCATTTTTAACACTGCTTGAGCTCGATTCGGTTAAAACTTCAAAGTCATCTATATATCTTCTCAACCGTAAGCTTTCATTTATTCTACTCGGTCCTGTAAAAGACTGATGGGATAATAACATTAATATTAATATGGAGAGTTCTTCAAAAATATTAGCATTGATATACACACAAACATAATGATTACATATATTTATTTATTATATATGCTTATTTTTTTTAGTAACTAATTAATCGTCTCTACTTTTCTCTCAATTTTTTTGGAAAACATTTTTTTTCCCAACATATTAAACCATTTATTAATATAATCCCTTACCCGGCTGGTCCTCACTCAAGATTCCAGATTCTCTGAAACCCATAAAATGTTGGTAATTTGATGATGACCGAAGACTTCGTCGTGCATGGCGGCTGTTGTACGCTGATTCTTGGGTAGCCTATTGGGAAAATATTACGAACACAATGATACATAAAATATGTTACTAATCAGCGCCGAAATATACAAACAGGAAAACTCTCTTGAAACTTACTCTTATGTCAGTACAGAAAAAGCAAAACCAATCTCCGTCTGGTACTTTGTCAAGTTTTTTCGGCAGGCAGTAACAGTGGCACCTGTAACAACAAATTATGTAGTTGAAAAAATTTTCTAATATAACAGCATGAAGAATCCACCAAGTTACTGAACATGAAAGAAATAATACAATGCTAATGAAAAAAAAAAACGCACGCAGCATTACAACGAACTGAGCTTCCATCTATATTTTGCCCAATAATTCCATCGCAAAGCAATAGTAAATGTTCGTCTTTCGATAAGTTGCACACTTGACATCTAGCATATGCCACTGTTATATCTCCCGTTTCTTGAAATAAATTATCTTCATCAATCTGGAAATCGCATGATAATAAAATACACATTTAAGATTCCTTTTTTGTAGTCAATAAGAAATTCAAACTAAACAAATTAGAACCTCTCTTTGATATTGAACAGAAGTTTCTTCTTTCACAGATATCTTATATTCTTTACCATCCTGGTTCATGACCACCAGTATTTTGGCCGGTCTCTTACAAAGTGGACATTCTGATCGTTTCTAGAAATCAAGTTCAATGATCGTGAAAATGTAAATACTATTAGCCGCAAAATAATATAAGTTCCAAGAATATTGTAACGTAGTCTCAAAATACAATTTTTTAAAAGCAAAATCCCTGTAGTAGTTTGGCTAATATCCTTTTAAATATATTAGCCAAACTACTACAGGAATTCATAATATGAAGTGAATAAAGCATACCTTTACCCATGTGTTTATACACAGATAACAAAAGGTGTGCTTGCATATTTTCGGTCGTGCTTTCGGCCAGCTTGCAGGCTAAAATGAACAAGTTTTTAAACAATCTGAACAAAAAACATTGTTGCATCTTGACACCAGTGAAGCCTACCTGCAATATTGTTTAAAACATATCATCGCTGGAAATAATGTATTCCAAACCAAAGAGAATGAAATAAGAGAACCTACCCCCAAACATATTGAGCAAAATACCGCGCTTTCTTCTTCCATTTCCAAACCACTCTATTCCGACTGATGAACGCGGAAGCAGTACCAAAATGAAGGACAATCACAGAGCCTTATCATTTTTAGAAAAAAAGAGACAGGGAGGGAAAACATCCAACTTGATATGACAATATTTATGCACTTATATCCGGCTTGTGGTTGCACCGGTCTGGATTTAGACGCCCACAAAAACTCCCGCCATCATTATTTCACCCAGTAGAAGCTACGAAATCATTCCTTTTAACCGTATCTCCAATTTTCTATATCTCTTTTTCTTCCCCATATGCTTCTTTGCCTTTGTAAAAACATTTCAAAAGGAAAACTATCATTAAAAACTCTTGAATAAAATATAGAAAATACATCAGTTATTCTACGGTATCCTCTCCATCCCTGTCATTCCAAACACCCTTTTTTTACTTCATATTTAACACTACGAATTACTCCATATTTAACACCACTCCGAATACACCTAATTCCCGAAAAGCACCGATAAAACAACGATAACAGTTGGTCATATCAAAGGCAAGAATTTACTGCAAGACTCAACTGCTGACGTTATGAGTGAAATGACCTCTCTCTCTCTCTCTGTATGTACTGCTCTCTCTCTCCCTCTGTCTGTCTGTCTGTCTGTATGTATGTATCTGTTGTGAAATGAAGCCTGAATTAGAGATCTAGGTAATGTTTCAGAAATATTCAGGTAAGATCACCTTTTCCCCAGTACTCTCTGTTAAATAATGAAGCGTAGACGAGATGAAATTTTGTTGTAACTTTATACAGATTACAAATTCTTCCACCTGTTCCAACTTATGTAGTTTTTTTTGAGACAAAGAGATTAGGTGTTTTAATTAGTTTAAAATTGGAACAGCTCTTTTCTGATGACCAGCAGGATACGACTGATTACTATAATCAATGAGCGTGCAACCGGAAAAATTAATTAGAACCAAAATGCTATGAAATTCAAGAAAGCACCCAACATTAGTATCTTCTGCTTTGCCGACATATCGCTATTATGTTCCGTTATATTCGTTGTATTATTAGATTTGGAAGCCATTTTTACAATACTTTTCCAGCTCTCCATGATTACAGGCCAAAAATAAGACGTCAGAGTCGTTTCTTCTAGTCTTGTATTCATCCACGCACCAGGCATACCGATCCAATAGGTGTGATTTTTTAGCATTTAGATGTACTCGTTGGTGTGCTTTTGTTTATTAATTCATTTTTTATTGAGGCATAGTTTCAGTTTTAGATTTTTAGTTTTACTATCAGTCTTGCGGTGCTGCAGTTAAACTCTGCTAGCACTTGGCCTTATGCCAAATCCTTTTCTTTGTGCAATCGATAAGCGATAACTCTTTTGTTGACGTTTGCTTACGAACTCCAGTGCAATGTCAGGTGATCATTAAAAAGTATGCGACCAGTTCCCAATTAGTTCCCATATCTTACTACTAACAAACGAAAATGAACTTCTGTGGATATGGAGGAAGCATGAGGATCTATTTTCCTTTTTCTCCTAATCAGCAATTTTTAATGACAAATTAATCTTTTAAGTTTCGTACAATATAAGTAAAACTTTAATGCAAACTGATGCAGGTCGTTGGTCTTAGCTAAAATAAAAAATACTTATAATAAATCAGTCAAATCCCATCGTGTAGAACAATATCTTACCCAACATTCAAATGTCCTACACATTACTTCTCTCTTATATATTTATTTTAAATAATTTCAGTTATCCTGACTGTAGCAATAGTAAATCCTGTGTCTTGGATCTTACATCATCAAAATCCTAACAAGCAAAACCTAACATTGAAATTTTAGCGAAATCACATAGCAGAAATTCAAAGCATTCAAATGAAATTTAATACAACATAAATTTGAATACAGGTATTCCGCGAATACTCTGAAAAATTTTACAAATTGAATTATATACATTCATACTGAATAACTTCTGTTTGCGTTTGAATTGTAAGTGAAATAATTATATAATACAACAAGATATATACGAGTATAAGAAACACACATTACGACACTTGACCTATATAACACAAAAGAAATATGCAGTAGTACCGCCTCATCACCAACTGGACATTTCTAAATTCACGAATTTGCGAATTAAAAGTTTTATTCTTTGAATTAATTTTCATTTCAAACTATTTGTGTAAGCTTTTTTATACTAATTCTCAATTTATAATTTCGTAGCACTAAATATTAACAAAAACAGAACTTTTATACAAATCTGACTTCCAATTTTTCTTGGTTAAGTGGCAACCAACAGACCCCGCGTACAATGGAAGACCAATGCATGTAGCGAGAAAGGCCAAGTTACTTTACACATGAAAACTTCATTGACAGACACAAAAACACAAGAAATCTGGCTCGTATTGATGCTATGAAATTAGTATAAAGTGATTAGATTGGTTCTATTTAAACCTCCCAACCCTGCAATATCACTATTGATTCCGATATCGTGCGACTGCTTCGGCGGTCTTCTTATATCAGTAAAATGGTGGTCGATGTCGCGCTACAACCATGGATTATAAACTGTTCGAACCTGTAATGGTCGGTCCGAAGCTGTAATCCGTAGCTACCAGTTTCTTTCGCTTTTCTTTTCCATATCATCGATCTCTATCTCATTTTGTTTAAGCTCTTTAGTAGTTGTTATTCCCCGTCTAGCTTCTTAATGAGTGACATATAATGCAAACTGTTTAAATAACGAGATAGAGCTTTTTTACCTATATTATTTACAGAGAAAATTTCTTTCCGGTTTCGTCGATACTATTATATCCCATAATTTTTGACGACACCTTATGTCTTTTGCTGAATAGAAAATTTTAATTGAAATTTGTTTGTCTTATGCATAAATTCTTACCCATTTTATTTAAAATTTTTCCAATTCAGTCAATTCAGTGCTCCACTACATGTATATATTGGAATTTGCTTGAGGTTCTTGAGTTGGAACAGCAATAAATCCATTTCGAGTAGCTTGCGACCTAAGATCCTGTTCAATCTCCTCTGAATCACGCCATTCGCTGTACTTTTCCATCAAAATCTGGTCTTCTTCTAACATTTTATCAAGCCGTATGCTCAGCTGAAATTTGCTTCTAAATTAGAATTAAATAAACCGATTGTTCTAAAGCCATCATTAGTGTCGACAATAATATGAAAAACAATACATCTCAAAATGTTTGAAAGGTTCGTTATACCAATAGTGACAGATGTGTCAAATGTAATCAAAGCAAAATAGATTGAAATACTTAAAAAATTACCGGTGGAGAAGCACGCGAAAGATGTGTTTTCATCAAAACTTTGCATTCGGAGAACATGGGTCGGTTATTAGGATCCGAAAGCCAACATTGTCTCATCAGGTTATATCTGCAAATAAAATACTTCGCATTTCACTAATAACATTTCCGGCATCAATGATATGTAATTTTCAAAAAAAGCCCTATCCATCCAAGTGTTGAAGAATTCGCAAAAAAAAGGTTTATGAGCGATAAAAAAACCACGTTCGCAAATTAAACAAAACGTCTTTATTATAATTGCAACTAAAACAATCGTGGGAACTAACATATCATCTGGAGCAAGTTTGGGTTGTTCCATACGATTTCCTTCTTGCAAATAATTCACAAGGTTGTCATTGTCTACTTGTGGATATGGAACTTTACCAAGAGAAAATATTTCCCATAACAGTATACCATAGGACCAAACATCAGACTAAAAACTGTTATAGTAAGAAAATTAATTGATATACCTAATATCATCAAATACACAGAGAAAGCATGGAAAAACATTACTTGTTCGGTAAAATTGTGGTATAAAATTGATTCTAATGCCATCCATTTGAGAGGTAAAGGTACATTTTGACTGTTTCGTATATGATAAACTGTGGAGTCCTTACGTGCTAAACCAAAATCTGCTATGCGTATTGCTCGCTTCTTTGTTACCAGGATATTTCGAGCAGCGATATCTCGATGAATACACTAGAATATTGCTGAATTTATCATGGATTAGTACGTAGGTAAGCTTTTGCACAAAAGTAATCAAAATACCGTTTTACTAGATAAGTATTCCATTCCGTTGGCAACTTGGTATCCAAATGAGATCAAATCACCCGTGGTGATCATTTTATCAGCCATCCTTGCCTCATCTACCTCAATGGCCCATTGAGGTTTTAACTCTGCCTATAACATATAGTAGTAGTCAAATAAATAAATTTACAAAAAAGTGTCCCGATATGTCGAAGAAAACATAAATTACAAATGTTACTTGCAAAGCTATAAAAATGTTGCATAAATATTTCATTATTCGCTAGTCTTATCTGTGTTTATAAATAATTGATTATTCCCTAAATATTTTCACGGAGACATTTTTAATACGAATAAGAATAGAGAAACCAAGTAAATTTGGGTTTCATGTTGTGCGTTCCGCGTTGGTGTTAAATATCCATCGCTGCTCAAAGGTTCTCTACTTATTTCAACTTCATTCAGGAAACCTGCACTATTTTTCGACAAATAATCTTTCAAATTATCATTCTCGCAATATTCCATGATCACATACAGTTGCCCACTGTAATACATTACTATTTAGCTTATAATCAATTACATTCCTTTCGCTGAAAATACCGAAGAAAGAATCTGTGGAGCAAGAATATAGTTTCGAAAATATTTAGAGCTACCTAGACATTTGTTTCGTTACGGCACCAATCAAACACAGAACATTTGGATGAATACCAATGGCGATCATTATTTTCAGCTCATCAGCAAGTGCTTTTTGATGATGTAAATTACGTCCATCTCGTGGAGATTTGACAGCCACTCTCAGCACGTGTGACACAGCTAATGAATCGCTCACTCGAGGTTTGCTCAATTCACCTAAGTAGACCTGTCCGAAATTTCCTCCACCAAGTAACTAAAATATATAATATATTATGTATAATAGTTATTATCGGAGGCAAACTGGAATTAAACAATTTTAATGACCCGGAAACACGACTACATTTAGCCAAAGTCCCTTACCGTATGCAACCATATATACAATGTGCACTAATCAAATGAATTTAACAACATATATTAATAAATTTTTCCTTGCAAAGAAGAGCAAAGATAGAGATTACTGACACATAAAATGTGTTGTGAAAGTTTTTAATGTCCTCAAAAAGCATACAATGATAATAAATAGAATGTACCCCACACTGTGTTATGAGTGTGATTAAATCTCAGATCTACAACCAACTCTAGCGACTTTAATGAAATAGTTTTATCCGAATGTTTTTAAAATCATTATATAGACCTCTTAAAATTTTTTGTACCGGGTTTTTACAAAAAATATTTTTAGTTAAAACAAACAAAAACCTGCTTAAAAAAAAGCTTATCCTTGCTAATTTCATATCTGCGATCATAGGGTAGCTGTTCAACGCGCTCATGCAGTGGTTGCTTGAGATCAATGGGTCCATCATGATATTCTCCGTTCGATTCACTCATCAACTGATTGTAAAGTGCTCGCAGTTGTTCCTCTTGTCGCTTACCTCTGCGACGTTGTTTCAATAAGAAAACAAGTGCTAGAAGAAGCAACACCAATACACTAACTACTGCAAAACCAACAGTCCACCAATATTTTGATGACCGAATGTAAGCCGGTTCATTGGTTAACTGTAATAGTTTTCATGTTACTTGTCACTGAATTTTTTTGCAAATAATTTGGCTTGATTTCAATGCAAATTTTAAAAATATTTCCATTGAACTTGCCTCAAGCCGAATAGAAACTTGTTCTGAACCGGCGCGATTTCTTCCAATGCATGTATAAGTTGCTTTATCTTCAATAATAACTCGAGGAAAATCAATTTTCTTCGTCAAGCTGCCGTAACCATTGTACTCAATGCCATTTTTAAGCCATTTGTAAAGTGGTTCTGGCTCTCCCTCAATAGGACACACAAGTTCTGTTCTTTCTCCATATTGTGCCAGATGCTCATATTCTTCATTTGCCTCAACGATGTAAGGAGCGACTACTGGGTTTACCTAGAAATCAAATTATCTATAATTTCTTTTTGCCTGTAAAAAGTTAATGACAAAACTTGATAAAACTAAAATCAAATCAATACATATGAATTTCGGAAGTATGAATGGGACGATCAAACCATTTCATTTTTCCATTCATACTACAACTTTCACGAAAATTAAGATGCAGGAAATCTTTCGAAAATAATTTAATTTAAAGCATAATGAACTATTTAAAATATGATACTATCCAATCAAGTTTCTGATTAATAATTCTACATTTTGATCAAACTTATAGAAATGAATCAAAAGATATCTGCGCTTGAGATTATGTTGAAAGAAAATGAAGTGAAGAAAAAAGTCGAGCACAAAATTAAGGTCACATAATGATTCCGTCATGGCTTACTTTGATGTGCAATGTATAACTGCGAGAAATGTGGCGATTTTTCGATTTGGCGATACACTGATAATCTCCGGACTCATCTGAACTAATATCATCCAACGCTGTTATGAATTTTTGAGAGTATATGGTGACATATCGTTCCGGATGTGGTAACTGAACATCATCTCGTACCCAGCTAACATCACTGAAATAGACATATTCTTCGAACACATCAATAATCTTGGTAGCATTACTTTTGGAAAATTTTGAGAATTTTGTTCATTTCTTTTTTTATTTCCTTTGTACTTGTTTTATGAATTTTAAACATGTATGAATTTCGACAGAAAACAGTTTCAGTACGCAAGCACCGAAGTTTATTTACAAATTACTATTTAAAGAAGATATAATTAAACTTCTTTCAAAGTAAAGTTAAGCATGGTTCCAATATACTATGACGAAAACAAACTTTAGTGGACAGTCAAAGACTAGAATAAAACTAAGTATATTTGTAAACTATTGATCTCACTGATCCATTAGATCACTTTTCTACCGGACTGAAACAAACCATTATAGCAAAAATTTGTATGATACTCTCTCCCTTGCTTTTCATCTACAGAAATCAAAATACCAACAAATCATCGTTCAATGGAAGTATGCAAATTAGCTCCAGTCGATCTTTTTCATAGATACTATCGCCTTCATTGAATGAATCAACTGGCTTTTTGGCAATAAAAGACGCATTAATTGTCTCCACTTCTGAGATGACCAAATCTTTTTCATCCATCTAAATCAGCTCATTTTAAGAGAATTAAGAAATGCAAATAAATTTGGAAAGACAACATTCAGTAGAAATATGAAAAAACTGACTCAATCAAACTTTTTTGAAATCACTGACGCATATCACGATAAGATTGCTTTAAGCGAAGCAAATAATCTTCATGTATATGACTTCTGAACTTTCTTCTTTTATACAATGAATAAAAATGTCAAAGCCATCACGCCTCGACATTATGAAACTCTTGCAGTAGGGATCAAACTTCGTGAGAAAGAAAAGAGAGATCAAAAAGAAAACGTAAAAATTAAAAAATTAAACGCAGAAACTAATTTAGTACAAATGAATAATTTTCGGATAACTGACTCAAATATTTCAATAGATTTTCAAGCTACTGGAACAATGAAAATCAAAAAGTTAATATTTGAGTAAAAACAGCTCTATAGTTTATTTTCCTCCCTACGTCTTCCTTGCTTCTTGAATCTTATATCACTTTTTTTACTTTCAGGAAAATCATATTCATTAAGACTGTAAAATGAAAAATGCCTTATTAGTTTCGTCATCTTCACAACGTATTCGTATATGTTCCTTCGCATATATTACCCATTTTATAGCGGATTCAAAAGTGAAACCAGACAATTCTTCAATGTCATCAGGTTCTTCCCAATCTTCACCTCTCCTGAAATGACAAATAAGAAATTTATTTATGTATTTGAGAAACCTGAACTGGCAAAAATTTGTGGAAAAAAATCAGCATATGAATATTCGAAAACCCACGTTATGTATAAAAGACGTAACTTGCGTGGTTTCATATCTTTCACCACGCATGTAACAATTATTTTCGAATCGATTAGCACATCAGATGATAAAGGCTGACCGAATTCATCTTGAATAGTAATGCGTGGTTGAATTTCAATGGGACGAATGGATAATGTCCAATTTTTCTGGTAAACATAGTCTTGTGACACTCTTATCATTAACTGATAGCTGCAATACTTTTTCTAATCTAAACATTACCAAAATAAGCAACGCTTATTGCCATTATATTTTATTTGAGCTTTTCATATATTTCTATCTATGAAATAGCAATTTTTCAAATGCAATTCTAAAAGTTACAGCAGTGAACTGAATATGAAATAATTCAGTAAAAAAAACAAAATGAACTAATATTAATGAAACAATTTGAAACAATTGATGATAAACATTAAATTTTTTCTCATCTACATAATTTTATTTGTCCCAGTATCATCTATTCCAACCAAGGTAAAAATTTAGGCAGGTTATTTGCTTGTAACAATGAAATAGAACTATTTCCAGTAAAGAGAATTTTGAAATCTAAAAAACCATAATGCGATATACGAAAGGTCTAAATGTCTGTAGTGAGTTTTATTTTTGAATTTCAATATGCAATTATTGAGAAGACAAACGTCGCAGTATCATCAACGGCAGCATTAATGATTGATAGTTCGTCTTCATGAAGATCTGCATTCGCTTTACTTTTAGTGCCTTTTTCTATTTTCTCCATGAATTCTCCTCTGGATGATAGTGTTTTCGAATACTAAAAACTATCACCATTAGAGGAAAGAAAAATAAAATTTGGATTAGGAAATTTTTATAAGTTTTCCAAACCAGGAAACTAAAAAAAGTTGAAATTACGGCATCATCTAATTACTGGTTCAAACAAGTCGCAATAAAACACTGCCAACTGAAATCAAACAGTTCCAACTTCTAAGTAAAATGAATGAAATAATTTTTCGACAGATGGTATAAGCTCTCACAAAAAAAAAAAAACTTCAATACAGTCCTGTTTTATATGAAATCACGTCATCACCAAAAAACGTGATAGGAAGTGCTAGTGACTGTCTTAAGTTTAACGAAGATTGAAAATAGATTAACAGAAAAGCGATTGCCGGAAAACGTTTTGTTAAATGGGAACACTTCATTAACAACAAACCTTTCTCCATTCAGAACTATATTCATCGCTTGGAAACGCTCTTGCTATATGGAACAACCTCACAGTATTACCTTCTTCGAAATTAGTATTTTCCGAAAAATCCACCACTTTTAATTGACCTTTTGTGGGTGACACTTGCAATCGATACATACTACGCCGAATATCATGAATATCATCTTTATTTGTCACTATGCATTCATAGTCACCAGAATCGCTTTCATGCAAATCTTCAATAAACAACAATTTCCTGATACCATCTCCAATTTTCACATAACGATTTGAAACGACATGACCCTAAAAATATTTTGTTTTTTTAAGGAATACACAACTTTAATTAATTGTTACAGCAGTGAATTGAATTTTATAAGAAAGTGAGAAATTGAAATAGTAAATCTTTGCCTGTTCCTTTCATTGCAACTCATGAAAGCTCAGTGAGAACAGATTTTTAGCAATAAACTATTACTTCCCCTCCTTTCCACTTTCACTAATAAAGCAATAAGAGTCCTGCTAACTGCTGCAAATAAACCTAATACTCAAGATTCTATTCCATTCTTTAAAGTTACAAAATGCTATTCCATACATCTTATGTAAAAGACAACAAGAAAGCATGTGTAGAAATTTAAAATCCTTTAAACTCCTGTAATTTACAATTTTTGATTAGTTGTACAGTACAATATAGCATTGTCATCACAAGTAGAAAAAAATAATCTTTGGTTTCAATGAACTCAAACAATTTTGAAATCCGTAGAATGATCAAAACTTTCAAAAATTCTGATCGCCCTACAAACTGAAACAGATATCAACAAATTGTAAAAACAGCATACAATCTCGTCTTCGCATTGGGGACATTTCCAGGTGAGCACATATCTAAATCCATCTCTTGTATGAAATGTACAGTTCATTTTCAATTTCTCTCTAACGTAAGGCCACTCAGTCGACACTTCAATCAGTGGCGAGCCCTCCAACTCTTCATCGTTTTTTATCGGCACTATTACCATTTCTGAAATATGGCCCAAATATTCGCAACGAGCCGGTATCTCCGTACGATCATTGAGAAGCTCTCGATCTACAATGAATCCAATCCTGGAAAAAATTATTGGAATATACTGTATTATGCTCAACAGATATAACAAATATAATCATGGTGATTTGTTATAATTAGGAAAAAAATAAAGATGTTATTAAATATAAACAATTCGCTAAATAACAAATTTCCTACAGTTCAGCATATTTTAAAATGGATGAACCTTGGATCAAACTGAATTCCTTTAGTCTGCTTTATATGATTAATGAACAACTCCACACCGCTTTCAATGAATTCATCCATTCTGCACGGCAAAATCACATGAAGTCCTCGGAGTGATTTAGAAATAATTAAGGGACCAGAATTCAGGAACGATCCCTCTTTAACTGATTTCGCATCTAAAACATGTCTTGTTGATATACTTCCATTATGATTTTAAATATATATGCAATGAAGATATCTGATCTATTTACAGTAGTACAATTCTGTTCGATGTAAATTTATCATATTTTATAGGTAAATTCGGCAAATTTTATTTCTTCTTCATCTATATTGAAAAGATTTCTAACTGAAAAAAGACTGACTTTTGTTGTTAGATACATATATATATATGGAAGAACTTAATCCGGAATGTTCTGCGGCACACACATATTCACCCGTATCTGACCTTTTCAGCGGCTCTATCCGCAAACTCCGAAATCCGATATCAAAACCATTCTCTGTGACTCTGTCTGCTCGCTACAAATGAAATAGCTCCGAATCATTAAATCAATTTTTCAGTGTAAAATGCTGCGTCTAAAACCATTCAATACCAAATGCTTCATAATTTTTTACGGAATTAATGCAAAAACAAAATTTTAATGCACATTTATCCAAAACTTAGGAATAATAAAAGATGCTACTTAGGAATAATAAAAGATGTTATTATCATAAAAATTTCAATTAACTCATAAAAAATTTTTAGTACTGATCTTATTATTAAATCCAATTACTGCAGTTATTATAGAAAATTGCAAAACACGAAATGCAATGTAATCCTATTCCAAATAACGCTTATTGATTTGTAATAGGAATGCATGTTATTTTTTCGAGAATTGACAGATATCTTTCTTATTTTTTCACATGAAGTGTAATATGCTCATCATTCGTTTATTTCAGAGACATTCATGAACGATCGTCTTGTGATTTTTTCACTAACATAATACGCTTAAGTTTTCTCCTTTATTTTTTAAAACCTAACTGTGTAATAGTTTTATTGTATGCTAGAACTATCAATCCCTGTAGCCATAAAATCATTCAATAAATTTCAAAATCTTTTTCCACACTACTGATAAATAATATTTAAAATTTCGAATCATCATCAATTTCGAGCCATTATTTACCATCATAACGCATTGAATGATTGAAAGAACAAATGGGATGCTGGTATGTTGAAATGTCATAGCTTTTCAATAAATTTAAGTTTATTGTAATAGGATCGGTTGAATAGTTGTGGAAAGCAAACTGAATGTTATTTTTTCTGTATAAATAAAAAAGACGAACCTCTACAGGGTCGAAGCCAACATGGAAAGAGTTATCAGGCAATATCCATTTAACGGCTTCCATGGTTGAGCAATTCAATTCCAATATTTCGCCAGCCTTTTTCTCAATATATTGCTGACCTTTATATTCGTGAAACTCGGAATTTCCGATGATAACGGGTAGATAAAGTGATGCATCGGCAGTAATGAAGCATAAAAAAATAAGCAAATGCACTATAAAAGGATGGAATAAATGCATAAATCGCCAATACAAAGTACGGCAGCAAATTGTTGGTAGTGAATAACCGGATGAAATGTGATACTGCTCCTCTGTGAAGAAAGTGACAGATGACCTCGGGTACATCTCCTGTCTGTTTGATCTAAACCGACCCATTACTTCCACTGCAAAATGATATAGTTTCATTCTGCTTCACTGATAGCTAATATTTGCTTGTAAATCGTCGAAGAAAGTAGAGAACGATGTGGAATGTAATGAATGAAAGGAAACGGCAATGAATCATCATGCTCGTCCTTTTCAGCACTGTGAGTCAGACTGTTGACAATGTCAGCATCGCAGAATCATTTAGGTTACAAGGACACAGCTGGTTGTAAGTGGGATAATTAATCCCAGCGTATACCGCTGGCTATCAGTGCTGTTATTGTTCCTGCGTTGACCATATAATTATAGACGTCCATTCTTGACAGCAACAGATTAAATTAAATACCAATTATCAATGGGATATCAAACTTATCAGTTCCACTCTATTCCTTTTAACAGTCATTATGCCCTGCCATTGATACCACTTCGCTTGTCCTGTCACACCAAGCGATTATTTTCCAAATCATCACAAAATGATCACTGCTTTTAACATTTTAACACTACAAACATACAAACCTTCCACAAAAAAGTACACACATATACACATACACATGCATACATACATATACACACACATAGATACAAATACATACATACATACACTTGCATTCTAAACACACAAGAGACACAGTCAAATGTGACATATTTCCGGTTTCTTTTATTTCAATTCCTTACCCGTATTGTATCACTTTGATGAGTTGCTTTTAATAAAGAAGATTAATATACCCCCAACTGACAGTGATTCCGGTTTGTCGTGGAGCCGGGAGGCTTCGAGAGATTTTCAGGTCTGCTCGACATTACAAATAGTCCCGCAAATTAAAAGATTATTCACTTTTAGCAGATTAATTACGCTAAGGAAAATTTATCATCAGAAAACAGGTTGTTGACAATTGGACGATTCCATTGAATCTCTCACAATTAACTGTCATCTTTTCTTGAAAAATTCAAATGACTATTAACGAGCTAACGTTGCGTGTCATCCTCGAATTCCTCTACCGTCAGCCAATAATATGACGGAATCTAATTGCAGTTACAGTGCTGCATGATTGAGGATTAAGATATTATAGCCAGAGCCCTTCAAATCAATGCATTCTCTGCCGGTGATACTACGTCACCAAATATATGAAGCGATTTGAACGAGTAACTTTAACATAAGGAACAAACAGAACAGTTGTTTGTTTCGAGAAGAATCAAATATTCGAATTCAATTTGATCAAATTGTTTATAAACTTGATATGTAATAATAAGCAATGCTATCGCATTTTCAACTTATGCAGAAATTTTATTTAATTTTGTCTCTTATAATCTTACCGATAAATAAATATTTTTATCTTACAGAATGTAAAATGCTTAGAGAAAAGATGGAGGAAAAGTGGGGTCATTAAACATGATGCGTTGCATTATGATGCCCGAGCACATGTTTGAAATGATAATCAATTTGGAACGGTAAGAAGTCCATTTTCCTGTTTATCGATCTGACCATATGCATGAGGAATTATGTTTATGGGTACATATCTATTATATATATGTGTATGTATGTATGATTAACAAGGTCATCTGCTTCATTCTCTTCAGCCGATTACAGATGGATCTCTTCGAATTAGACTGTTTAAGTCTAATGTCGACGTTTCTCGTTTAAATATGACTTCGACAATAGCCTGGCATTTTTAGCACTTCCGAGAGGTTAAGGTTTCAATACTTACAGTGCATTATTTATTTCTGTAAGAAAGCATTGTGTTAGTTCCCTTCATATTGAATTTCATCTGTATTAAAATCACTTAAAAGAAAAAATAACAGCAACATTTCTCCGAGAGAAGAGGAAAGCATAATTTTCCCTCAAATGAAATGCCATATTCAAATCGTTACATCGTTATCTAATCAGGATATGGAAAAAGACCAGTAGAATGTAAGGATGAAAGACGCTAAATAGCTGATTTTTGATTTCTAATTTTCCCGAAACTCATTTTATATCTCTCAAAACTTTTCACAATCTAGTTCATCTTACATAAAAATTCAGTTGACTTGAAACGCTTGAATAAAATAATATAGTGTGTCTATTGACCGTTTAAAAAAAAGTTGAAATGTAGAATTGCCCTACAAGATTACATTGGATTGAATTTATTTTTTCTTGCTACTGACAATAACCCCGAAAAATTGTTTGCCCTGGAAAATAGGGCATGTAACACACCTTAACCAAATAATTGCTCAATCTGGATAAGGTGATGCGAAATGACCGCTCCTCAAATTAGAGGAAACATAACGAAATCCAAATTTCAGCTGATATTAGTAAACCGTAACTTTGAATTATTGTAATCGTATCTGACCTCAGCCTCAAATAAGTGAACTTGTTAGTCTCCGTATGCTTAATTCGAAATTTCCAGAAGCATTTCTGTACTATGCTTTGTACCATCAAAACACAATCATGCGTGAATCTATAAATCCCATCTTTCATACTTCCTTCGAAATTTAATAAGCTCAAAAACCAGGCCTACTGATGGCAAAAATTACACAAATTGAGTGTAATATTGTTCAAAATCATATTTTTCGAATATTTTCTAAATTCAACGTCATATAAAGAAGACATAATAATGGCTACAGATTTATTCTTATACATATGCGGTACAAACTTTTTAATATGCAATATATACCATTCACAAAATGTAATTTATCATTTTTTGAACAAAATAATCAGTGATAAAACGAAAAAATATTCTCTTTAATGTGTGTAAGGAATCTTCCAAAATGTTCGTAGTTAGAAAACTGAGCATTTTGAGAGATTCGTTGACGAAACAATAAAGTTATTGTAATTTTTCGGTTGTTCTGTAGTTGCATTCGCAATTGTTTTAATGGTCTTTCATGAAATACTCCTCTTTTTTGTCTGAAAAGGCTTCTACAAACATCAATTGAGACGAACATAGCATAAAAAGTACCATACATTGATCAGTGTTCCTATATCCTCACGATGATCATTTTATCATACAATAAATCCATGCCAACAGCGCTATTTGGATAAATACTACCTACAGAGATAGTAAAAGACAGATCTAGCTAATAATCAATACTTTACAGGCAACTATCATCTTTATCACTGTTCATTTTTCAGCTCAAATATTTACTGTTGTTAATGTTTTAGTTAGAGGGAATGAACTAATACAAAGAAAAATGGCAGGATGTTTGTTTTTTGAAATTAGTCAGATATATTCTTTACCATTCATTTGGTGATTGCTTTCTAATTTCACATGAAGAAAATACATTTTCAATGAAGTAAGAGGAGACTGGAATGTCAGAATTATCAGAATATGTGAAACATTCTTGAATGATAAGACTTTACACTAGAGGTACCACTTAGTCGTCAGTTGCCTGATTTTAAATATTCACGGCAGAATATCATCGGATAACTTTGCTGGTTACCGTGTGCAGATTACGACATTGACCAATGTTCTAACATTAAAGACCATGGTCGATTCTTTTGGAAATTTTCCAAATAAAAAGCAGAATAAGCAGAAATTAGAATGTCAACTGAAAGAGTATCGGCAAATATATTCTTTCAGTTGACATTCTAATTTCTGCTTATTCTGTTTTTTTTTCAGAATCCCAATCACAATCGTTATTACTAAATATTTATATGTAATGAGAGTAAAAGGGTATGTCACGAAATTAGCTCAGTGATCTAATCAACTTTACTGACCAATTAAAACTTGCACTATTTGCACTATTTGATATAACTTCCTTTGGTATAAATTATTAGCAGATCCATAAAAAGTCGCCAACACTTCACCTTCTGTGGGCTTTACCTTCTCCTCTTCCTCATTTTCCTTGGTTCCATCTCATTGCACAACGTAATTAGCTGGAGAGTATTTCAGCCTCCATTCAACGAAATTTTCGTGCGTTATGTGGTAGTGAATAATAAATAATGGTTTTTTTATAGACTAAAAAATATCCATTAGAATAACCTCCAAAACGATTGTTGACAGTAAAGATGGATACAAAAATGTAACTGATTTAGCTAGCATAAGTAACACTTCTAATGCTTTAACTTCATTTATCGCATTAAGATCAAGTTTTTTATTCTGGTAGTTTTTGATTCAACTGGTAATAAATGATCATTTGAGTGATACTTCTGATACCATCAGCGAGGAACAAAATATATAACAAATCACATAAGCTATACTGAACAGCTTTTCAGATTATTTATATTTGTTTTACGAAAATGAGTGGAAATCAATCAGGCAGCAACCAGACAATATATGATTTTCATCACCAGTTAGGTTGGAATTCATAAGGTCTTTTGAAATTTTAACTAATACACCATAAACATGAAGTAAATAATCTGTACTTTAGATGACAATTCAATCTACTTGTTGCGAACCTGTTTATGAAATTAAAAAATATAGCAAAGACCTCTAACTCTCAAACAAGCTTTCTACCAATGCGGTGCCTTCGTCCATGAATATCATTCCGCATTCTACCACTATTTTTCAATTTCACGGATGGCGCTGTGGGGAAGTTCTAAAAAAGGAAATAGGGTTTCTGAATTGGGGATGTTATGAGGTGGATGGTGGTTATATCAACTGCATAAAGTGGTGATTTATGGTTTAGATGAAATTGTAGTTTCAGTTCTGTATCTCTGTGCTTTTTTCCGAATCAGTACAATACAAGTTTGATTAATTCTTCAATTTACTAATTGTTGTTGCATTTTTGAAAAATTTACATGTAAATTATTATGATTGATATATACAGACTAATTTGTAAATAGATCACTGTTTGCTTTCATCTGAAGTCTCTCCATACGATGCTTTAGTCACAGGTGGAAACTACTAACTATATTAGTTGAAGGCAGTTCAATATTTTCTGAAGTTGGTAGTTTGTTTATTTCTTTCACTGCTGCGATCGTTTATCAAATCTTCAGTAGATGTGACGTTTTCTTACTATCATATGTTATGTTTGTCAAAGTGCGTCAGTTATTGTATATTATGTTTGTCGAAGTGCTTTGTCTAGCATTTTGTATTTGCAGA